TTATAAAAGCTAACTTACAAAAATATAATATCAAAATAAAAAATTCTAAGCCTACTTATCGTACAAAGTTTTTTTTAATATACATATATAATAATAATAAATAATAAAAAATTCTTTCTAACCAATCTTTTAATTTGAAAAGCTTACTTACGTTAAGTTTTTTAAAAAGCTTAGTTGCTAGAAAAACAAAATGAAAATCAAAGATTAACTGTAGAGAAACTAGATTTTAGTAGAAGGTGAAACAAGTTATGATTGGGAGAATTAATTTTTTTTCTAAGTAAGACTACTTTTTTGCGGGGTTAAGGAGTGATATATTTTTTTCTTTATGAACAAAAAGTGAGGGGGAAAAAATTCTTTAATGATCAAAGTGAAAAAATTAGTACTTTAGGACGTAAAAGTGTAATTTACTAAATTTTCTCAGAATGCCAGGTCTGGGTTAACTTGAGTCACGTGACATTTTTCATTACAAAAATATTACTTTAGTTGCAATTTGGTTCAAAGAGAAAAGAATTTGGTAGTCTAAAGGATCAAAGTGAAAGTAATTTCTTTTTTAAAGACCAAATGAGAAAAAGGTGAAACTTAAGAGAGGTGCCTCTATAATTTATCCTAAAATTTAGATAGGATCTTATTGATATTTTCTTAACAAATATTAAGGCATGGAAAGGGGACTATTTACAACTGGGGGTATTGGTGGCGTGAAAAGGCGCTGGCTTTTCACACAGGAGCAGAGCTCGATTCTTGGAGGCACAACTAATGTCCCATTTATTTGGTGAAAACCGTATTGTATTCAACTCGTGACTCTATCTCATAGGCTGGGAGTTGGTGCATTCTCCATTTATTTTGATGGTGGATCCCTTTCTTTGAATTAAGGTTAATCTGGCCATACGTCTCATGTGCTGAGGGTTGATGCATTTTCCGTTTATCCTGATGGTAGGTCCCTTTCTTTGAATTAGGCTAAATGTGGCCATAATACCAGAGTTTAGTGGTTGCAATGATACCTGCCAAGAGTACCCTTTTGTTATAAAATAAAAAATTAAAAAAATAATTAAAAAAAAAAGTTGAAAGTGGACTATTTGAATGAGGTTGTTGGTGCTGTCATGTTACCACACTATTCACTAATCTTCTAGTTTCGTTTTCGTCTTGGCATCATCCATACATATCACTCCTATTTTCTTTTGGGAGAATCACAGATGAGTGGGCCTTTCGATATATATATATATATACATATGGAAAAGTATAAAATTTTAATTATTAATATTTATGAAGTTTATTATTTATATGTAAAATATATATATATATATTTTACATTGAATTGCTATTGTTCCTTTAATTTTTTGTTATCTCAAAATGCATATTTACTTTGAAAAGTTACAAATTTAAATTTATAATTTTTCAAAAATTATCTCATATAAGTAATTATAAATATGTTTTAAAGATGAGAAAAAAAATTGCATTACACAATTGTTAAGAAATGCTAACATCAAATTGTTACCTTCACTTTATAATCTAGTTGTTATTTCTATCCTAGATTTTTGTAAAAACAATTCAAATTTTGTCTTCAATATATACAATGATGTTTGAAGACAAATTTTAGCATGTATTTATAAATAAATTGAGCGGCAATAACATTTTCATACATATTTTTTTTTTTTATCAGCAAAAAATAACATTATTGATAAAAAGACATACATAACATATGAAAATACATCAATAAAGAAAGGAAGTGCAAAAAAATCAAATTACACCCCCAATAGCATATAATAGCTGAAAATTTCTATTTATATATAAAATTCATACAAAACTCTATTTATATAAAATAAAAATAATTAATATAAATGAACACATCTTTATATGTATTTTGTTTTAAAGTGAAACAGCTTTTTTTAAAACTCGTTGGAATCTACATTAGCCTAATTTCATTTGAAGCACAAAGGGAAATAGGATCACTCCAAAACCGGATATGGGGCTCAAACCTGGGCCTTCACTATAAAAGGTGGAGAGCGTACCATTATGACTAAGGGTAAGTAGCGAATATATCGATCCATCAAAACCGACCGATCCGTACCGATCCGCTGCATTTTGGACGGATGCGTGATGACGAGCGGACGGTTGCGGATTGATTTTCTCCAATCCGCTAATCTGACGAACGGATGGCGGATTTGAGATTCCTTTGGTCGCAACCGAACCGCCAAACCGCGAACACTCCTAGTAATTTATAAGGCTTTGTGTTTTCAGTTTGTTTAAATATTTTGTTTGTATTTTCAATTAAAAAAGAGTTTAAATATTCTGTTGAAAAAAAAATTCAACTTGAATATCTATTTTGAATTGAAAAAAATAAACGTATTATTTATCTATATTTTTTGGTTTTTAAATCTATCTCTAAAAATAATAAATAGAAAATATGATATATGCTGGTTGGTTTTTGTTTTAAAAAATATATATAGATGTAACAATACAGAGACATACAATCTCTACTAGTGCTCTGTTCATGGTTTTGATAGTTTGAATTGTTTTTATATTTTAAGAATCATAGATTGTAATACTTTATGTGAATGAGACATGCTGTGATTGTAGTATGTGGATGAGGTATGCAGTAATTGTGATATTCTAAAATTTCAAACTTTCTTGCTTTTGATGAGACATGCAGTGATTGCAATATTTTTTTAAGTCATTAACTGTAATACTTTCTTCTTCTTTTTTTGAGAAAGTGCACAAGTTAAATTATGTTGAAAATTTATAAAATTTTAAACCGCCAAACCGATTCGCATCCATCCGCCAATCCGCTCAATCTACATCCGCCGAATTGGCGGACGGATGCGGATTTATTTTCTCCAATCCGTCAATCTGACGGACGGATGGCGAATTGAAAGTTCCATCGCCGCAACTGACCCGCGGCTACCCCTAATTATGACACAAGATAATAGGATCACCCCACATGGGCTCAAACCTGCAACCTCTATCATAGAGTTAGAGAGCGTACCATTGTGGTACAAGCTAAGCTCCAATGATATCATTCTATATGAAATTTTCATATTCAACTATATCATTCCACACTACAATACACTATAAGAAAAAGTACCTTTGGCGATTAAATTTTTAGTCACCAAAAGTTCATTTTTAGTCGTCAAAAGTCGACTTTTTAGTTTCCCCGACTAAATTTTATAGTCGCCGGTTTTGTCGCGAAAACATGGTCGCCGGAGGTATTGGCGACTAAAACTTTTTTAGTCAGCAAAAAACAGGTCTTTAGCGACCAAAGTTTTGGTCGCCAATAGTGAATTACACTTTTTAAAATTATACATTTAGCGACTAATCTTTTAGTCGCCAATAGTCAATGAATTGCCGACCAAACCGTTTAGTCGCCAAAAGAAACACTTTTGGCGACCAATAATTTTAGTCGCCAAAGGTTATTCCGTGAAAAAAAAAATACTAACTTTTCTGTTTTTTCTGAGATTCAAACCACCAACCTCCCACATTCTAAACCTTTAGCAACACACTCTCTCCACTATGCGACTACAACACCACATGAATATATATGCAACATATATTATTTGTATAGTATATTGACCTGTATTAATATAAAACTATATATATAAACATAATTATTTTTATTCAATATAATTTATGTAAAAAATATATTATTTACTAAAAAAAAAAATAAGACCACTTTTGGCGACTAAATCTGTTTTTTAGTCTCCAATTCTAGAGTTTTGACTACTAATTATATTTTAGTCGCTAAAAAAATTCATTCCCGCCTAAAAATAACCATTTTTGGCGACTAAACTTATTTTTAGTTGCCAAAACCTCCACTTTTGGCGACTAAAGTGAATTTTAGTCGCCAATTGTACACTTTTAGCTACTAAATTTTTTTTAGTAGCCAAAAACCTTCACTTTTGGCTACAAAATTTATTTTTGTCGGTAAAACACGTATAATCGGCGACCAAACTATTTTTTAGTCGCCAAAACCTATACTTTTTGGCTACTAAATGTTTTTAGTAGCCAAAAACCTTCACTTTTAGCTACTAAAATTTTTTTAGTCGCTAAAACCCATATAATCGGCGACTAAACTGATTTTTAGTTGCCAATAACTATACATTTGGCTACTAAACTGTTTTAGACACCAAAAGTCTTCACTTTTGGGTACTAATTCCATTTTAGTTGCCAATTCTGCTACTTTCAGTGACGAAAATTGTATTTTTAGTCGCCAATTTTGCTTTTTCTTGTAGTGATATATAAGAGTTTTAGAAATTAGATTTTTAGTTTCTGAAAATGAAAATTTTGTTGTAAAAGGCATTTAGAGATTAATTTCTATCGTCGTAGGGGTAGTCGCTAAAAAGTCGTCCCGAAAAACCAAAAATAAAAATTTTATAAACAAAATTTTGAAAATATCACTAATAAATAGACTTTTAGGGACAAAATAATTTGGACTAAAAATGTTTATTTTTTTAGACAAAAAACTTGGTCTCAAAATAATAATAATTCATCACTAATGTTCAATTTTTGCTGCTAAAAATATAATGACGACATTTTCGCGAAAAAAATGTTTGATCTCTAAAAAATAGTTTTGTCCCTAAATTTTAGTCTCTAAAATCTTAGAGTGTGTTTGGTTTGTGTTTTGAAATAAATTTTCGAAACAAATTTTGGGGAGAAAGTGTAGAAATTTTTTTGATTTATTTGGTTGTATATTTTGAAAATAATTTTGGAGTTTGGGATGATTTGATATTTTTTTGTAACTGAGTAAATGTGTGTGAGACAAAAAGTGATTGAGAAAGAGAGAGGAAAAAGAAAAAGTGATTAATTGATGTGTAGGAGGAAGAAAGTAATTTTGGAAAAAAATTTCAAAAAATTTCCAATCAAACAAAATTTTGAAATTTTTTTTTCAAAAATTGTATTTTGAGAATTAAACCAAACAAGGCCTTAATTTTTTGTAGTGCCATATGAAAATTTTGTATGAATTTTCTTACTCTATGTAGCATTGCATGGATATCCTCTAATTTATGCAAACTTTTGAACATTCCTCATTTCCTCTACTCAGCCAAAAGAGTTGGTTCTGATACCAGACTCTTTTTAGAAGTCCTTGAGAACATTTAGAGTGAAAGAGAAAGAAAGAGAGAGAAGATGCGTAGAGGCAAAGTAGAGTTAAAGAGGATTGAGAACCCATCAAGCAGGCAAGTGACCTTCTCTAAGAGGAGAAATGGGCTTCTAAAGAAGGCTTTTGAGCTGTCCATCCTCTGTGATGCTGAGGTTGCCCTTCTCATATTCTCTCCCTCTGGAAAGGCTTATCAGTTCTGCAGTCATGAGTTAGTTCTTCCCTCTTCACTCTTATTTTCTTTTTCTTATACTACCCATTTGCACCTCTGCTTTCATTGTTTTAGCCACTTTTATTATTTGAACATCGTTTTGTTAATTTTCTATTCATATGAGAGAGAGAGAGAGAGAGGGAGAGGGGTAAGAAATTGGATTATCTTGAGCATTTTCCTAAGGGAAAAAAGGATGACACTAAGCAATTTGTGTTTCATTTCATGCTAAATGGGGCAGCATGGATAGGACCATTTCAAGGTACCGGAGTGAAGTGCGACTTTCTCAATTTAATGACCAAGGACTAAGAACCATGGAGGTAATTCTTTTTTCTTTTTTCTTTTCTTTTCTTTTTTTATAAATATTTTTAAGGGGAATTGGCCAAACAGGTATTGTGGTGCAGGTTTGAGTCATAAAAACAGGCTCTGGTAATTGGATGTATACAGTTTTTTGTCTTTATGTTCGAGGAGTTTTGTGCACTTGGTCACAAATTTCTTTTCTTTTCTTTTCTTTTCCGTTCTTCTTCTTTGTGTGTTTTTTTCTCTTTGTGATGCAACTTGAGTTTGATTTGTTTGTATATAAATGGATCAAAGAATTCCTTTACACCTCGGATCACAAGGCTACTAAATCAAACCTTTATTTGCTTAATATATAATTGTTTAGATGAGGATTTAAACATCTTCTGTGTTTGTTTTGATTAATGCTTTACAAGTTTTTTTTCTCTAACACTGTGTTTAGTTGAGGGATTTGGGGAGGGATTTGGAAAGGGAAAGGAAAATGTGTGTGAAACTATGTGAAATGTAAGCATGTTTTTTTCGCATTTCACCTACTTTTTCCATTTCTCTTTCCAAATCCCTCCTCAAATCCCTCAACCAAACACAACATAAAAGTATAAATTTTGTTGCAAAAACTATTTAGGGACTAATTTCAATTGTTGCCAGCACTGTCACTAAAAAGTCGTCTCGAAAAGTCAAAAAATGAACTTTTAGGGACAAAATTTTAAAAATGTCATTAATAAATACACTTTTAGAGACAAAATAATTTGATCCCAAAAAACTTTATTATTTTAGACAAAACTTTTGGTCCCAAAATTTTAGTAATTCATCCCTAAATGTCCAATTTTGTCGCTAACAATAAAATAATAACATTTTTGGCGACAAAAAAATTTGTCCCTAAAAGGTGATTTTATTTATCCCTAAATTTTTGTTTCTAAAACCTTAATTTGTTGTAATGTTATTGCACTAAACTTTTCTATATTATCACAGGTTCGGAGGAGTGAAATGGATGAATTAAAGAGCACAATAGAAACCTTGGAAGCAAGACAAAAGTATATATGTTCTATATAGCCAAAACTATCAAAATACCATAATAATATCACCATCAACCTAATAAATTACTATGCATATTGTTCATATTTTTCAGGCACTTTGCTGGAGAAGATCTATCAATGTTGGGCATGAAAGAATTGAAGCAAATAGAGCGCCAGTTGAGGAATGGAGTTGAACGCGTCCGCTCTAAAACGGTAAATTAAATCCATACGGGTGATAAAGAGAATAAGAGACTAAACTCCATATATATACTCTTTCCGTTCCAAATTGTTAGTTCATATTCAGCATTTGTGTCTTTTAGTTGCATCAATAAATAATGTATTTTTATAAAAAGAAACATTAAATATTTTTCATAAATTAAAATATCTTAATTAATTATAATAAATAAAGTCCTCAAACTAGTTAAAAATAAATAAAGGAATAGTGGAAGAGGAGGGGGAGAAGGCCGGAGTGGAAATCACTCCTTTGCTCGAACTAGAGACTATATAAATGTATATTTAAGTGTACATCTTCAAAAATATATCACTCAATGTACGGGAAGCAAATATTCAGGCAAGCCCGTATTCCTTTCTTCCGAGCTCCGTTTCTGTCCGATCACCTGCGAGCAAATAACGGTGAGCTACCCGGCGGTGTGTGGCCGGAAAAACCCTCCGACGGTCAAGTTAGCACACACCTTAGGATAGAGAGAGAGAGAGAGAGAAAGGAGTGTTTGAGTGTAAGAATTCCTTACAGAATGTTCGTGTCCGCGTATGGGGGGCGCAGACATGCTTATATACCCTCTGCGCCCCATATCCACTCCCAGTCATCTCCTGACACGTGGCTCCTCTATCCCATCTGTCAGCATAAACCTTGCTGAACATCACCTAATCTCAACTGCCTGCCTTCTCAGCTGGAGCTCGGCAGCCGAGCTTCTCCATCCACGGCCGTGCTATGCTTCATACCCAAGCACTTCACTGGCTAAGCCCAAGGAGGACCAGGCTAGGCGGTATCTCAGCAAAGCCTAGCCCGGGGCACCTCCTGTGGTCGGCCTTCCTGCCGATCAAACGATTACCTCGGCTGACCACGCCTTTCCGGGCGCCGGTCACTCAACTTGACTGGCTCCACCATCGCCTGATCAAGTAGCTCGTTCCAACCGAGCACTGCCTTGCCGAGCAGCTTCTTTACGTTCTGGGGCGGCACATACTTGGCTCAACTCCTGCCCGGCCCAAATCCTGGCAGCCCATCTCCGGGCAGATCGCCGGTCATGTCGGCCCCATGCACCATTAGGCTCTCAACCTGCTCGGCCGTAGCCTCGGCCCAATTCCAGATCATAAATCTCCCTCTCAATTGCCCCTTAATTCCGTCCACGCGAGCGTGACTGGGATTACCTATACTTCGACCGGGGTAACATTTCTTCGGTCTTCAAAATGCCGAAGGGCGACCGGGCTAGTTAACATTACTGTCCACAAACTTGCCCGGTTATACTCCTCGGCTGGCGTCCTCTTCTTTGAAAGTAGCCCGGTTGGCTCTTCGACTCTTCAACCTGTCTCTTCAGTTCTGACGTCGCCATAAATGGGGACACGTGGCGGGCTGCCATTGGTTCTCAAGCAACCAACCCGCCGTTTTGCCAGAATTTGAATTTGGGCGGTCTCTTTTGTCTGTACACACAAGACCCTTCGTCCTCATTTTCCTCCTACTGTCTTTCTGCATTTCTGATGTAACCGGGCTCTGTCCCCACCTTTTGTATTGACTTTCTATCAATGAAAAACTCTAATTTTGCCAAGTGTTTGCACGGTTGTCATCAATTCCATCTTCAGCAAAACATCTCGGTATAAATCATAGATTGAACGGAACACCTCGTCAACCGGAATACATAACTCAGTTGAAGTACTTAAGCAGAACAAAACAGCAACTTCATAAACCGAAATAACCATCTCGGTTGGTAATAACAAAGTTGAACAAATCACCAACTCTTCCGACCGGAGTAAATCATCTCGGTTGGGAATAGCAGTTGAACAAATCACCAACTCTTCCAACCGGGATAAATCGTCTCGATTGGGATTCCCAAGTTGGATAAAACACCAACTCTTCCAACCGGAGTAAACCATCTCGATTGGGAATACTAAGTTGGACAAAACGTCAACTCTTCCAACCGGAGTAAACCATCTCGGTCGGGATCCTAAGTTGGACAAAACACCAACTCTTCCAACCGGAGTAAACCGTCTTGGTTGGGAATCCTAAGTTGGACAAAACACCAACTCTTCCAACCGGAGTAAACCATCTCGGTTGGGAATCCTAAGTTGGACAAAACACCAACTCTTTCAACCGGAGTAAATCATCTCGGTTGGGAATCCTAAGTTGGACAAAACACCAACTCTTCCAACCAGAATAAATCATCTCGGTTGGGAATCCTAAGTTGGACAAAACACCAACTCTTCCAACCGGAATAAATCATCTCGGTTTTTACATTAAAACAACAGTCCAAGTGGTAAAGCAAAATTACTTCTATATATTGACAAAAAGAATTACATTTTGAAGTGCAAGCCAAAAAATTCCTTTGCACAAGAAAAGAAAGCAAAAACTTAGAAATAATACAGTTTTAGGTTGGCCGCATTCCATGGCTGGGGTATTGCTCTTCCCTCTAGATCCTCCAAGTGGTAAGCCCCCTTGCCCGCCAGACCGGTGATCTTGTAGGGTCCTTCACAATTTGCCCCTAGTTTGCCTTCACCTGGCACCAGGGTGTTGCCCATAACTTTCCTCAAAACCCAATTGAGGGGATTAAAAATGAAGATTTGAAGATCAATTATATAAATTGTTAAAATTTGGGTTTGCATGTAAAATCAAGTTAGGTTGAAGAATATGAGTTATGATTTCTCAAATTTGTTAAATTTGGGTTCAATTTCATATAAATAGAAGGAATTAGCAAGATGATGAATAAATGGAGTTAGACTCGAATTTATGGAAGTTAAATTGAGAATCAATTATGTTAAATTTGATTTTTGTAGTTTTGCATGAATTTGAGTTCCATTTCTACATGCATGAACAAATTTTGTAAGTTTTAATACTCTAATTGTACATGCATCATGGATTTTGAAGAATTTGAATGGGTAATTCCTCAGCCCATTTTCCCTTTGCCTTCTCCAGCCGTTTCTTCAATCCATCCAATATAGTGTTGTTCGATGCCTCGGCTTGACCATTACACTGCGGGTAAGCCGGGGTGGAGTTGTAGAATTCAATCTTCAAATCTTCACAAAATCCTCTGAATAGGCGACCGTCAAACTGGGTGGCGTTGTCAGAGATCAAGATCTTGGGGACGCCAAACCGCGTGACCACGTTCTGCCAGACAAACCGCTTCACGTCTGTCTCTTTGATTGTTGCCAAGGGCTCAGCTTCAACCCATTTCGTGAAGTAATCTGTGGCCGCAATGAAGAATCTCCGGTTGCCCAGTGCTGTTGGCAGTGGTTCCACTATATCTAGCCCCCACAGGGCGAAGGGCCAAGGACTGGTGAGGGGAAGAAGTTCCCTAGCAAGCTGATGGATCTGATGGGCGAATTTCTGGCACTTTTCGCACTTGCGGACGTACTTTTGTGCGTCGGCCTGCATGCGCGGCCACCAGTATCCGTGCGAAATAGCTCGGTAGGCCAAGGACCTGCCCCCTATGTGGCTGCCACAAATGCCTTCGTACATTTCGTACAATAAGGCCTCCACACTACTCGGGTGCACGCACTTTAGATAAGGACCAGTGAAGGACTTTTTATACAACGCACCAGATGGAGAGAGCCAAAACCGCTCTGACTTCACCTGGACTTTGTGTGCTTCTTTCTTGTCAGTTGGTAGAGTCCAGTCTCTGAGGAACAAAATTAAGGGGTCCATCCAGGAAGGACCTAGCGCGGCGCAGAGTACATCCGTCTGCCCGGCGTCTTCAATGCTTGGCCGTGGAAGAAAGTCAATTAACAGGGGGTATGGAGACGTACTATCTACCATCGAAGCGAGGCCGGCCAACTCATCAGCTCGGCTGTTTTCTTCATGGCCAATCTGTTGGACTCTGATTGCCTGAAACTGCTTGATGTGCGCCCTGACCAGAGCTTGGTACTTCGCCATCCTGTCGTCCTTTGCTTCGTAAATCCCAGAGACTTGGTTAACCACAAGCTGGGAATCACTGTACACTAATAGCTCGGCAGCCTTCATTTGAATAGCGCTCTTGAGCCCGATGAGAAGGGCCTCGTATTCAGCCTCGTTGTTAGATGCTGGGAAGCCAAGCGTGATAGAATGTTCAATGGTTAGGCCATCCGGGGAGATAAGAACGATACCTAGGCCGGCACCATGACGGTTGGACGCTCCATCAACAAAAAGCTTCCACATTTCCCCTACAAAAGGCTTCCAACAGTCTGATGGGTCCTGAGAGTTGCGAAGGGCAATGGGATCATGGTTTCTTGGCTGTCTGGTTTCAAGTTCCGTGTTGATTGGTTCCACTCCAGCCCCCCTTGATGATTCGGCACCGGACCCAGCAAGTCGGTCTACAATGCTTAAGTCCGTCGGCGAATCACCAGGTTGCGGTATTATGTCGGCCGCAGGCTCTGTGCTAAGTAGTTCCATCACTTCACCTTCTAACGACGCGGTACCGGACAGAGTGGGTGGGACAACAATACCCGACTCCGTCATCGCGTCACCGGTTGGTCGAATTGTACAAGTTGAGGGTACTACGGTGGGGCGCGCAAATTTCGCGTCGGCAACTCCCCCCAGTTGTGGTATCTCGGTCAGGCTTGCAGTCCCTTCTTCTTCGACCGCAGCAATATCGACCGGGCATACCGGATGAGTTCCTGGCGAGAATTCAGCAACGAAATCGACCAAAGTTTGGGCCTTTATGGCTGTGCGCGGTTGGAACTTTACATCAAACTGTCCCAATTCGACCGCCCACTTGAGAATTCGGCCTGAAAAGTTCGCCCGTTCAAACAAGGCCTTAAGGGGAAACTCGGTCAGTACGATGATGGTATAGGCGTGAAAATAATGCGCCAACTTCCTTGAAGCCATCATCAATGCCAACGCAAGCTTTTCCAGCGGCAAGTACCTCGTCTCAGCCGGCAGCAAGGTCTTACTGACATAGAAAATTGGGAGGTGCTTGATTCCTTCAGCGCGGACTAGCACCGCACTGACTGCGTGCTGGGAGACAGCAAGGTAAAGGTAGAGTTCCTCACCAGGCTTAGGTGTAACCAAC